CTGGGGGGGGGGGGGGCGGCCGGGGGCCCCCCCGGGGCCTGTCCCCCCCCCCCGGGGGGGGGGGGGGGGGTGTCTTTTCCAGACCAACGACTTGACCTCCGTGCACTTGGGCGTGAAGTTCAGCTGCCGCTTCAACCTGCGGGAGATCCAGGAGCGCTGGTACGCGCTCCTCTACGACCCCATCATCTCCAAGTGAGTGTGGGGCAGGTCCCCGTGGGGCAGAGCCAGCCCCGAAGGGGGGTGGGAGGTTGAGGGGGTCTCACACCGTCCCCCCCACCGCCCCAGACTCGCCTGCCAGGCCATGAGGCAGCTGCACCCCGAGGCCATCGCCGCCATCCAGAGCAAAGTGCTCTTCAGCAAAGCCGAGGAGCAGCTCCTCACCAAGGTGGGATCGGTAAGAGACGGCTGGGATCAGACTGGGGGGGGGTCTAGTCGGGGGTCTCGGGGGTCTCCTTAGAATCATAGAATCATTGAGGTTGGAAGAGACCCTTGGGATCATGGAGTCCAACCATCTCCCCTACTCTACAAAGTCCTCCCCTACACCATGTCCCTCAGCACTGCATCTAAACGGCCCTTAAACACAGCCAGGGATGGGGACTCCACCCCCTCCCTGGGCAGCCTCTTCCAACGCCCGACCACTCTTTGGGTGAAAAATTCCTTCCTAATGTTCAATCTAACCCTCCCCTGTTGGAGCTTGAAGCCGTTCCCTCTCCTTCTGTCACTAATGACCTGTGAGAAGAGACCAGCACCAACCTCTCTACAGTGTCCTTTCACGGAGTTGTAGAGAGTGATGAGGTCTCCCCTCAGCCTCCTCTTCCTCACACTAAACAGTCCCAGCTCTTTCAATCACTCTTCATAAGATTTTATTCTCCAGCCCCCTCACCAGCTTCGTTGCCCTCCTCTGCGCTCGCTCCAGCACCTCCAGATCTCTCTTGGATTGAGGTGCCCAAAACTGGACACAATACTCCAGGTGTGAGTATCCAAGTCTCCTTGGTGCCACGTGGCTGGAAAGCTGCCCGGAAGAAAAGGCCCTGGGGGTGTTGGTAGACAGCAGGCTTAACGTGAGCCAGCAGTGTGCCCAGGTGGCCAAGAAGGCCAATGGCATCCTGGCTCGTATCAAGAATAGCGTGGCCAGCAGGAGTAGGGAAGTCATCGTGCCTCTGGACTGGGCCCTGGTGAGGCCTCACCTCGAGTGCTGTGTTCAGTTTTGGGCCCTCACTACAGGAAGGACATTGAAGTGCTGGAGCGTGTCCAGAGGAGAACCACCAAGCTGGTGAGGGGTCTGGAGAACAAGTCCTACGAGGAGAGGCTGAGGGAACTGGGCATGTTGAGTTTGGAGAAGAGGAGGCTGAGGGGAGACCTCATTGCCCTCTACAACTACCTGAAAGGAGGGTGTAGAGAGGCAGGTGTTGGCTTCTTCTCCCAAAGGACGAACGACAAGACCAGAGGAAATGGTCTGAAGTTGGGGCAGGGGAGATTTAGATGAGATATTAGAAAGAACTACTTTACTGAGAGAGTGGTCAGGCCCTGGAACAGCCTGCCCAGGGAGGTGGTGGAGTCACCATCCCTGGAGGGATTTAAGAAACGTATAGACATGGCTCTTCAGGGCCTGCTCTAGTGCCCAAGGTTATTGGTTTATGGTGAGGTGTTGAGCGTGGGGTTTAGTTGGTGGGTGCGGTGTTTTTGGTGGGCGTTTGGTGTGGGGTGTGTTTTGTATTTGTTTGGTTGGTTTTTTTTGTTTTGTTTTTTGTGATTGGACTCGATGATCTCAGAAGGTCCCTTCCAACCACTAAGATTCTGTGTCCCTTGTCCCCTCTCAGACCAGCCAGCCCACCCTCGACACCTTCCAGGAGCTGCTCCACAAACACCCCGACGTCTTCTACCCCTCACGCACCCCCAAGGCCCTGCAGCTCCACTGGCAGCTCATGAAGCAGTACTACCTGCTGGACGACCAGACTGGTGAGGCTCTGGGAGGGTCCCCTGTGTGTCCCCCTCCCTCCCCGTGTGTCCCCC